TATAATCTTTGTTGTCATTGTACTTAAAATACAACGAAATGACACCAGCCAGAACATAGACAAACTCAAATAAACAGCTTGGAAGATGTGGGGAGACGTGGCCCAGAGAATCGACTTAATGGATAACGTCATCTGCAGATGAAAAATCGCCTGTATCCTTTCACAACTCCGAAAGTTTATTTAAGTAAGTACAAGCCACTCCCCACATACCTTTTAAATTATATTCTTAAAACTCCCCTTTTAAAGTTTAATTTTCCGACCCCCGTCTTTAACAATCCCCAAACCCTTCCAACAAATATCGAGACAAGCGTCCATCGAGCAGCTCTGCAAGTTCTCCGCTGAGCCCCTTGCAAAACACTCAGCCCTCGCTCTTCCCGCGCGCCCCTCGCCGGTCTCCTTTAACGCGGCGGCGGAAGCGTCGCGGTGCGCGGGTCCGCCGTCCAATGAGTTTGTGCAGCGCATCCTCCGGCTTGGCCGAGCTGGGTCCGTCACTTCCTGCCCTAAGGAGCCGGCACGACTGAAGCCGAGATTTTGGGCAGAAGGGGGGGCGGGGACGTTGCGTTGAGACTGCCACCAACATGCCCTTTGATTTCAGAAGGTGAGTGCAGCGACCCCCAGAAAGGGGTGTGTGAGAGCGAGACCCAAATGAATGAAAGGCTCCCCGGCGCTCTCCTCCCATCACGCCCCTTCGATGCTGGGATCAAAACCGGTGACCTTTCCCAGTGGTTGGTAGCCCCGATGCCCGGGATGAAGCGTGCTTCTCTGCACAGAGAGGTCGTAAGAGGAAGGATGTGTGTGAGCGAGCCGAGTAAATTGATGGGGGTTAGTAGGATCGAGCGGTGCCTATGGGAAGAAAAGAGACACGTCGCGTGGATAGGTAGCTAGCTGACCTTTTACCCCCGTGGTTTACCTTCCACCCGCAAATATGGTGAAATGGGAGTAAGCAGCACGTGGATTCAGGTGTGGATCTGACTTGAAGAAAGAAACCTGCCTAATTTCCAGCGAGATTGCCAACCTGAAGGAAAACCTGGCCATGACTAGAAGTATTAGAAACAGCCCATTTGTTTCTGAGCCTCTTCTCTTGAGTTTTATTCAAAGTTTTGGCTACAGGTAGTCCCCGACTTACATCAGTTCGTTTAGTGACCATTCAAAATTAACAGCGGCACTGAAAAACCTGACTTAGGACCATTGTTCACACTTATGACCATTGCATCCCCGTGATCCCATGATTTACATTTGGATGCTTGCAGCATTCCCATGGTCACGTGATTTATATTTGGATGCTCGGCAACTTATATTTATGATGATTGCATTGTCCCAGAGTCATGTGATTTCCCTTTTGCGACCGTCTGACAAGCAAAGTCAATGGGAAAGCCAGATTCACTTAACTGGGTTATTAATTTAACAGCTGCAGTGATTCACTTAACAAACGTGGCAAGGAAAGTCATAAAATAGGGCAAAACTCATTAAACAAATGTCTCACNAGGTGCGAACTGGTAGGAATCCACCTCTGCTTCACAGTCTATATTTTGCTCTTTAAACTCACCTCGTTCATTTTGAGAAGCTCATCAACTCTCTCCAGCCATGATATTCTCAGTTTTTCCCTTTAACCCACAACTCTTCCCTCACATACTGTATAGTACTTATTTTGCAATTTGATTCTTATTCACTCTTTTTCTATAAAGTAACCACCTAAACATATGCAATAGAAGTTGTTGTCCACTTTTGTATTCAATTCCCATTCTTTCAGCAGTCATACAGTTTTTACTTATTTCTTCCTATTTTTACCAAAAGTACTTTTAGATACTCAATTCCAGCTGCTTTTAACTCACTTCTATGTATGTCCTACCATTCCCAACACTCCCTTATGTATAACCAAAGTAGAGCTAATGCAATATAGTATCCTTTCTGCTTCTCTGATAATTCTTCATCCTCATCGGAAATCACATAGCATCTTTCCCTTTCTATTAGCAGTTCCATATCCTAACATTTCTCCAGCCAGTTTCCTATATTTAGTAAATATTATGGCAACATTGCGATATTATTGTTCTAGAGTGTTTTTGACAAAAATATAGAAGTTTTAATCTATAACACTTCATTTCCCTATCAAACATAGCCACTTTGTTCTTTGATACAGTGAGGAATATGAATCTGATTAATCTATCATACAGTCTATTTCACATTTGCTGCAAATCATTTGCGTGCTCAGATAACAACTAGGGTGTCATCTGCACACATAAGTGCACATAAATTTTATCTACAATCAAATTTTATCTATCATCACAATAATTTTTTAGATAATTTAACCAGAAATACATTAAATAATCAAAGGGACTTCACACATCGTTGCTTTACTTCCTGCTGAACATTGAGTCATTTCCTAAATGGTTATACTACATATCAGATTAGATTGCACTCTCTGTTGTCTTTTTGTAGGTTTTTAATTGTAGTTTTCAATTGGTTATAATGGTTGAATTTGGTAGTTTTTACCTTGTGACACTGAGTGTCACATGTAGGTGAGAATGACAGCCATATGAATTCAATAAACAAATAAATAAATAAGCATTCTATTTATTCTCATTATTTACTCACTTATTATACCACTTTCACTGCATTCAGCAACCAGCCTTCAATGCCATGTTCATTCCATAATTCAAATTTATTCACTTAACAAATGTACACTTCCCCCCCCCCCCCATTGAATGACTTCATTAAGATCAAAAATCTGTGTACTTCCCCTGCCTGGCATAAAACGGCATTATACTTCCCAATTTTGTATATGGTACAAAATGTACAATTTTGTATATTTTTCTTGTTAATCCTTTGTAGCTTCTGCTTTCACTCTTGCCACATCCCAATAATTAGGAGATGTAGGCAGCACACTGACAAATATTCAGTATACTGGTGGTTGCTATGTAATGAGATACAGTGTAACAAAAAATAACTCTCATCGCTTAAATATAATGATTAATTTGTGTATTCACAAAGGTATTCCCAGAATACTTTTTAAAATTTAATTATTGTTGATAGTTTGTAGTTGGGAAAATAAAGAATAGAATAATATGATGTACAATGCATACATTTTAAATGTGTTGCTTAATATTTCTAATTGGGCCACAGGAAAATGTTTTATATCACTGGATGACTTTGGGGCAGTCATTTTCTTTCAGTCGGGCCCACCTCATAGGGTTGCTGTTGAGGGGAAAACAAGAAGGAGTCTTAGATATGTTTGTTAGTCTATAGGGCCCTTGATGCTCTCTGAGCTTGGTTGATTTCTTACAGATGTTTCATTAGGAAACTAGGTAACATCATCAATGCTAGAAGAGAGTGAAATTGCTCTCATGTATCAATGGCTTGCCCTTTCAGTATTGATGTGAATAATCTTGATCATTTCTTGATTAGACTGTTGTTTACTTTAGCTTGTTTGTTTTATGTTGGTAGTTCCTTCATTGGAGTATTATTTACTTCTTGATTGTTGGTCTAGTATTAATTTTGGTATTAATGTCTGCTCATCAGCTGATTGCTGGTGAGAATGTGTTTTGGTCTTTTTGTTTCCTTTTTAGCTTTTTGATTGTCTCTTTTGATTGGTAGGTGGGTATTATTTATCTTTATGTGCATGTTGATGGCCTACTGCTCAGTTTCCCAATTGAAACTATGGTTAAGTCTTTCCATGTTTTGCCAAATTAAGGCGTTTCCATTTCTTCTGACCGGCTCAAGATTGACTCAGCCTTCCATTCTTCCGAGTTGGGTGAAATGAAGACCCAGACTGTGGGGGCGATATGCTGACTCTGTAAACCGCTTAGAGAGGGCTGAAAGCCCTATGAAGCGGTATGTCTAACTGCTATTGCTATTGCTGTTTCCTTTTTTGATGTTCAGGGTTGCCCAATGTATTTGTGCACATCTAAATAGGGTTGTTACACAGCTCTTGTGGGAGGTTACGTAGTTACTTTAGTAATGGAGCGCTTAGTTGGTGTGAATAGTTTTATGATAAGACTATTTATGATAATTTGCCATTACTTCCTCTTCTGTTGAGGCTATCCAGGATGCATGTTGTTTTATTTTCCCCTAATTTCAAATGTCCACACTAAGCTTAGGCACGAGCAAAAGAAACTATTGAGGGGTTCCTGGTGTCCTGTGTGCTTGTTTTCTTGCAGATGCTTCATTACGCAAACTAGGTCACATCATCAGTGGTCACGAGCACTGATGTCATCTACTTTGGGTAATGAAACTTCTGCAAGAAAACAAGCAAGCTCAGAGAGCACCAAGGACCTCTCATTTCAACCCTGAACTACAAATATTCTCTTTATTAAAAACTATTGATTTAATGGGAGTTACATCAATGTTAATGCACAGAGAGACAGAGAGAGAGGGAGATAAATTATTAAATCAGTAGTTTTTAGTAAAGAATAATATTTGTAGTTCAGGATTGAAATGAGGGGTCCTTGGTGCTTATTTGTGAAATTTGTGCACATGGTTCTACAGCCATATAATCTAAGGGTGTTTTTTTTCCAGGTTAATGTCTCGTCTTCTCTACATAAGTGTAAGTATAATCTTTGTTGTCATTGTACTTAAAATACAACGAAATGACACCAGCCAGAACATAGACAAACTCAAATAAACAGCTTGGAAGATGTGGGGAGACGTGGCCCAGAGAATCGACTTAATGGATAACGTCATCTGCAGATGAAAAATCGCCTGTATCCTTTCACAACTCCGAAAGTTTATTTAAGTAAGTACAAGCCACTCCCCACATACCTTTTAAATTATATTCTTAAAACTCCCCTTTTAAAGTTTAATTTTCCGACCCCCGTCTTTAACAATCCCCAAACCCTTCCAACAAATATCGAGACAAGCGTCCATCGAGCAGCTCTGCAAGTTCTCCGCTGAGCCCCTTGCAAAACACTCAGCCCTCGCTCTTCCCGCGCGCCCCTCGCCGGTCTCCTTTAACGCGGCGGCGGAAGCGTCGCGGTGCGCGGGTCCGCCGTCCAATGAGTTTGTGCAGCGCATCCTCCGGCTTGGCCGAGCTGGGTCCGTCACTTCCTGCCCTAAGGAGCCGGCACGACTGAAGCCGAGATTTTGGGCAGAAGGGGGGGCGGGGACGTTGCGTTGAGACTGCCACCAACATGCCCTTTGATTTCAGAAGGTGAGTGCAGCGACCCCCAGAAAGGGGTGTGTGAGAGCGAGACCCAAATGAATGAAAGGCTCCCCGGCGCTCTCCTCCCATCACGCCCCTTCGATGCTGGGATCAAAACCGGTGACCTTTCCCAGTGGTTGGTAGCCCCGATGCCCGGGATGAAGCGTGCTTCTCTGCACAGAGAGGTCGTAAGAGGAAGGATGTGTGTGAGCGAGCCGAGTAAATTGATGGGGGTTAGTAGGATCGAGCGGTGCCTATGGGAAGAAAAGAGACACGTCGCGTGGATAGGTAGCTAGCTGACCTTTTACCCCCGTGGTTTACCTTCCACCCGCAAATATGGTGAAATGGGAGTAAGCAGCACGTGGATTCAGGTGTGGATCTGACTTGAAGAAAGAAACCTGCCTAATTTCCAGCGAGATTGCCAACCTGAAGGAAAACCTGGCCATGACTAGAAGTATTAGAAACAGCCCATTTGTTTCTGAGCCTCTTCTCTTGAGTTTTATTCAAAGTTTTGGCTACAGGTAGTCCCCGACTTACATCAGTTCGTTTAGTGACCATTCAAAATTAACAGCGGCACTGAAAAACCTGACTTAGGACCATTGTTCACACTTATGACCATTGCATCCCCGTGATCCCATGATTTACATTTGGATGCTTGCAGCATTCCCATGGTCACGTGATTTATATTTGGATGCTCGGCAACTTATATTTATGATGATTGCATTGTCCCAGAGTCATGTGATTTCCCTTTTGCGACCGTCTGACAAGCAAAGTCAATGGGAAAGCCAGATTCACTTAACTGGGTTATTAATTTAACAGCTGCAGTGATTCACTTAACAAACGTGGCAAGGAAAGTCATAAAATAGGGCAAAACTCATTAAACAAATGTCTCACTTAGCAACATAAATTTTGGGGTCAATTGTTGTATGTTGAGAACTCCCTGTATTTAGGGTTTTGAAGGATGTGTTATATTGACTATCAAGTGTCTTATTTCTATGCATTTCTGGCGAGGAATCATTTTGATTGGATAAATCCGTATAAGCTTGCATTTGGAACGATATAGGTACAGGTTGAAAGGGAAAGCTGAATGAGCAAAAATCTCATAACTCCAAGACATAACAGGATGCATTTGTATGCCATGCTAAGCCCTGATAAATAAATTGGGGAGCTAACATGGTCTACTGGTTAAGAGTTAGATTATCATTCCCCCGTCCCCCCAATTTCCTTTTGCTGCTATTTTTCATTTTCTTCTGATTCTATGTCCTTCATTCCTGCCTCCCCCATTTTGTTTGTCTTACCATTATTATTATTCGGTTTTTATCACACTTTTTTATTGTGCTGTGAATCTTATGCTTTAAAAAAAAAGTCCTATTGTGGCCAATTCTATTTTATTGTTACAATTTGATCAACGATACAGTCATAAAAGAGTCTCAGAGAGATCAATTAAAAATATTATTGTATTGCATATATACAAGTGTACAGCTTATTACAGTAAATAACCATTTCTTCCCTGGTAGGTGGTAGAAATCTGAAATATTCTGTTTATTGTAGGAAAGTGAGCTGAATCACTGAGGTTCCCAGATGTTCTAATAGAAGTCTCTTTTTGGAGAGCAGCTTCTGATTGCTTCTCTCTGTGAGTCAAAATGTTCCACAATCAAACCTGAAGCCTCGGTTGTCCTTTTATTATGATAGTATATTTCCCAGAGTACTGTATGTCATTTCATTTACTGTATGTTCATTTCATCCTGAAGCGGGGAAAACTCCTGAAATTGCCCTTCTAGAAAGAAATTTGCCTTTATTATGTAATAATAGGTGCGTCTGTAGTATTGTGAGGTATGACATAACCAAACTCAGAAATAGCAAGTTTTAAAGGAGGGAGGGTGTGGTGGACACAGAATGGTGGCATAAAAGGTGTGTAGAATTTAAACATAGCTCTAAACCTATTATTATATAATCTTATGTTACTCTTCCCTGGGTGTGTGGGAAAAGGAAATCAGAGGGTTTTCTTAAATAATTTGTGCCTCCTGAAATAAAATGAAGTGAGGAAACACACTTCAAGACAAATAATTAATGAAAGGATATGACAATGGTAGTTGATGCACTTGCAATTTTACAGAGAAATAAGATATAAAATCTTTGAATCCAAGTAGTAAAACTTAGTTGGGAAGCTGTCAAAGTACATTACATGCCTTAAGGTCCTAACCAATCTTACGATCTTCAGTGTAAATATTTACACAGAGTTGGTTGAGAAGGAAATGGTATATCTTTTAAAGCTCTGAAATTTCGACCTGATTGAAAAAGATAATGATAAGCCACAATACTTCTATGCTGTTTAAATAGACTGTGTTAATTTGAAAGTACGCAATACTGTACTTTCAAAGATTATAGATATAGCTTCCTATAAATTTATTTTTTAATTTAATTTTGATACATTTTTATAGATTATAGACCTCTAATTCTGATTTGTAATCCATCACTGTCATTTGAATTTCCTCTTTCTTGAGAAACAACAAAATACACAGTTTCATCTAAATTCACCAGTATACTTAATATATTGAAACCTTGATTTAGTGGGTTTTGATATAATGAGCTTTATTTGCCATAGACCAAATATTTGCCATGGTATATGTAATTTGCATAAGGGTGTCATATGCAAATGGTGTATATCATTTGATAACATGTTTTTGTATTTAACAGATTTTATGAAAAAAGAAAAGGATGTCCCCTCTTCCAAGTTAGACCATTAATTTAAAGTCAATTGTGATAATTTATGTGATAAGAGTACTATGTTATATAGAAATATAAGAAATGGCTTTAGATGTAGTTTGCCAGCCCACTCAGCAAGTGACTTTTTAAAACTTAGACAGTGTTTCCAAAGCATACATGAAAAAGCCAGTGATAGCATCTGGGATATTGCTGACGGATTTCTGTTTTATAATGAGCAGTTATGTAAAATTATGGTAGCTCCTACTAATGGATAGGCTGTTACATTTTGTGCTACATTCTTTTAATGAACTGCCCAATATGAAATATTTTCAGTGTGCTGTTTGAAAACTCCCAACAGCAGTAACAAACTCAAAATTAGTCATTCCAAAGGTGTAACTGCTTAATCCAAACCCACTCCATTTCCTGCAGGTGGGTTAATCTATATTCTCACCTACACTTGAATATTGTTTTCAGCAATAGAAGAAAAACAATTAAAAACCACAGTCTTAGGGAAGGAAAAAAAACCTTCCATCACTAATTAGTATAACTTTTTGCAATATAATGAGAAATGTGCTTTATTTGGAAGCCTACAGGGTTCTTACTTAAATTACTTAAATTACTACAGGGCATTCTGTATCACTGATCCTTTTTGTCACCTAGAATGATAAGAATTAGCACGTCTGTGTTTATTTTAAAACTTTTTAAAAACAGTAGTAAAACCGTGAATTTTTAATATTCTTGTTTCCCCTCCAAAAAACAACAACAAACCAGTCCTATTTTCCATGAGACAAAGAATGCACAAGTGGAACTGGATGTCCTTACATATAACAATAATTAATAGTGCAGATATAATCTTTACCTCGTTGTGCTTTAAAAGGACTTAGGATGCAGAGCATTGTATTGAGGATATGTGGGAATATGGGAATAATGCCAAATGGCACAGCAAGTAACTATCTTATCTTCCAAGTCAGGATCAGAAATTGCTTACAAATTTGAACAATGTTGAACTTTAAAATTTCATTTCATTCATTTCATTTCATTTATTGGTTTTGTATGCCGCCCACTCCCGAAGGACTCCAGGCGGCTTACAATAAAACAGGGAAAGGGGATAAATAAGACAATACAAGACAATACAACAATTTAAAATACGACAACATTCACAGATGAAGTGGGGCTGGATACTTCAACAGCCCCCAGACTGCCGGAACAGCCAGGACTTAGTAGCTTTACGGGAGGCCGGGAGGGTAGTAAGGGTCCGGATTTCAATGGGGAGCTCGTTCCAGAGGGCTGGAGCTGCAACAGAGTCCTTTG